ATAAATAATTAATCACGCATTCTTTTTTTTCACTTTTAGCTTTCGTAATTACTGGAAATTGAATTAAATATGCTTCTTTGATTAATAGAAGTTAGCACTTTAGTAATCTTGTTTTAACCAATTTTTTTTTTTTACATGCTAAAAAAAAATTTTTTTTTTTTCATGGGACTATATGATTATTTACGTATCAGTTAAATTATTTACATTGATTTTTACATTTAAAGAAAAATAACTTAATAATGTTCATTTTAATGGCTGATGATAGATTCACTCTTACTTTTTGTTTCAAACTTTTTCAGTTTTGATATGAATGTTTGCTTCTATATACTTTATTTAGCAATAGTAGTTTTCGTAGGTACACCAGTTCTTCATAAACACCTGAGTTAGTGAAATGACATACATTTTAATGTAAAGAATTTTCTAAAATGTTTGTGGTAAGTACACGGTGTATTAAATAAAGAGTAAAAACTTTATTAGTAATTACAATTATAATACAACGTTAAATAGCACACACGCACATACAGACGCACACAGACTATCGTTGATTTTGATGACACTTTTTAGTCGCTTACACCATAGTATTTTTTGCATTTAGGGCGAAAAATTCGATTTTACGCGTTAGTGATGATGGCAACAGACAAAGATTTCCCGCTGAGAAACATCAATGATTTATTTCATCAAATCATATATAAGTATACATATATTTATATTATAACATGTTATATTATAAATATGTAGTAGGCATCTGATGCGTAAAAATTTGTTTTAAGCATGAGTAATCTTTTTACGATTTATTGTTTCGTATGACGGGATGTAGGAGTATTTTGTGACAATATGGGCCAAATTATTGAAAACGTTGTTTATTCGACAAGGTAAAAACAAAACCCGATCGTACATAGATTTCTTTGTCCCAATGATAACGCGGTCACTCTCGATTTTCTTCTATTTTCTCGCCCGTGTAGAAAAACAGACCGGTTATCGCATACGTCAAATAAAAGAAAAACAAATTAAATAATCGGCATTTTGAAGAGAAAAGTTTGCAAGAATTTTCAACGATTTTAATGTTACGTGACAAGTTTTTCTGTATTATAACGAAAAGTTTACTTGATTTTGTAATTGTACATACATGTATATTTTCTTGAACATCAACATTAAGATGTCGATGTCCGAATTAATGAAAAAACTCATTTTAAAATATAAGGTAATTAAGTCTATTAAAATTGATACTTCTTCTTGTAAGGAAATTTAAGATGAAGTATGATGTACATTTTTTCTAGAAAGGAAAAAATCAACGCATAACGCTAAGAGAATTGTTACTTAAGGTTTGTAAACAAATGAGTAAGCGAATATATATGATTCTGCGAATTTCACTAGACAGGAATGAAGACTAAGACATATCGTGCGAGGAAAAAAGAAAATAATTTAAAATTAAAAAAAGAATTGTATTTAGTAAAAAAAAAAAAAAAATGGATGATAAAAATGTATTCAAATAAAAATATTAATTTACATTAATCTACTAGAAAACGTCGAAACAATTTGTGAAAGTTGATATAGTTTCATTGTAAAACAAAGATCAACTTTATTGGTTACGAAGTCGATATGTATACTTATTAAAAATGAATAAGGAACAGTTGTTTAGAATAATTATATGACATTCGATGAAATTTCTGTAAACTCCATGATTCCGACATATTGTGGCTACCATGTCTTGAAGAGAATTTTTCATATTTGTTGTAAGTTTCAAGTATACGATTCATTATACCAATACATGATGTTTATCAGATGCATACTGTACTATCATATTTTCTTGGAACAAGTCGCAAAATTTACTGGAATGATACCAATTTTTGTAACTTGCATGATTAGAAATAATTGAAAAATTCTCTGCAAACGAAAAATATCCAAAAAACTTTGTTTTTTTAGCTTTTACGCGTGTTCTGAATTATTTATGACGTGATATGCCGAGTATGATGCGATATGAGTATACACATATATGTATACGTATGGATGTGTAAACGAGTGAGAAATATTTTTAAAAACACAATTATAAACGTATTATATACGTTTTTAAGTTGGTGGTTGTATATTATTACTCTTTTTGTTCAAAACTTTATTTTTATTTATAACTAGATGTTACCGTTGTACATACACAACTAATAACCTAATAATTATTTATAGAACGTTTGTTTCCCTGCAAAGTAATTTTGCAGTCTGGTCATTCGTTGTAGTTCTGTGTTGCACTTTCCGATGGGGCATCGAAACAATTTTTTTTTTTTTTTTTTTT